CCCCCCCCTCATCCTCCCACTCCTACTCCCCTTCTCCTCGCTCTTTCTCTTCTCGTTATTTATCTTTTTCCTCATTTTTCTTTTCTTGCAACCGCCCCCCCCCCCGTTCCACCCTTCCGCCAACCTGATCTTCCTCGCGTTCTATTTTTCGTCACCGACCTTCACTCGTGACACAATGTCTCTTTAAATCCTATTCTCGAAAGCCTTATCCTTTTATTCAATTTTTATTTTTCCTTGGTATATTAATTTCGAGGAAAAAAAAAGACAGTCCAATCGAAACTCTCGCACGGGTGGCGTTTAATGATTAATATTTTCAAGCTTTATGCTGCGTGTGCGCGTTACGATTCCTTTTGCTTATTTTTTTGTTTTGTTGTTATCATTGGTTTCTCTAGGTATGTATTAAGAAACGACGTTTACGCGTCTTTCCATTCACAATATTGGTAAGAATCCGACCAAAATGGTGATTAGTATCACGACAGTGATTATGACGCAGATCATAATGAAGATCATTTTCTGTGGACAGAAAAGACAATTGACATGAGTCAGTATTGGGCGTATACCTCAATTGTGACAGCGAGTCAGTCGACTTGAAAAAAAATTTTGATTCGATGAAGAAGAAAAAAAAAATACATGCAAGAAGATGATAAATTAACAACGAGAAGAGATAAGAGAAGAAGATAAAAAAAAGTTATGATCAACGTGTGTGTCCGGCAATACAAAAGTGTGTCGTTTTAAGTCATATATTTTTTTGCAATTTTTTGTTTTTACAATCTTCATTCCATACGATCGAAAGTATTGCCGTCGTTGTTCAATGTTTTACCGTGTATGATTCAAGTGTCACGTATGAATACGCGCGTGTGACTATTATCTTACAGTATTGCGCTGGCGTGTTTCTAAACGTACTTCAGGCATTGTCTGTAATGGAAACTTATAGACTTAAGCATCTAAGTACATTTTGTACGATTAACATCGCACTGCCAAGCCAACACGGCGACAAGCGAAAGGTAAGCGGTTAAACGTTGTTAGTGGATAACAATTTCTTTCGTATCAACTTCAGGTATAAGAAAAAAATTACACAACGATCGAACACTGCCACGATTAGAAGATACGAAAGGAACAAGGCAAAAAGTAAAAAAAAAAACAATCAAAAAATCCAAATCTACTAATTCAAATCTATGGTTCTATAACAGTTAGACGCTCCTTGAATGAGTCTTAACGTGCATCCACATATGTATGTTAATAAAGTGCTATATTTACATACATACATTGCTACGGTAATAGTATCACGTTGTTCGTAGGAAGCGTTACTAGCAGTAACGAGGGTTAGGAAATTTGGTAAAAAAAAAAGAACAAACAAAAATACGTCCTTAACGAATCCGATCGAAGTAACCAGGGAATTATCGACGTGTCACGTCGATTTCCGTGCAATTATCTCGGCAAAAATATTAACGTCGCGTTCTCTCGTAGAAGAAAAAGAAAAATTGGAGACACAACGTCGAGCCGATATATCAGTACCAAAATAAGGTGACTCCGTTACCATACAAACCCATAAGAGGACGGCCCCTCGTCCAAAATTAATTTCTCAGCCAGGCGGTGTTACAAAAAAAAAAAAAAAAAAAAAAAAAAAAAAAAAAAGAAAAAGAGGAGCAGCAGGGCTAAGGATGGTAATCACAAGTGAATACGATCAAGGATCATAATTTTAAGGTTCCAAGACAGGGTAAAGTACGCACGAATAGAACGAACGAATTGAAAAAAGGAACGCAACTGAAAAATCGTCATGGTCGAGGATTCGTATAGCGAATGAAAAACTTAGTAAATTATACATACATTTACGTATCCCTAAAATAATCCTGCATAGATATGAAATCAAAGCCAGTTAGTATCTAACGTGTCAAACCGTAAGAAAAAAAAGGTCCCAGTCATGAAAAAAAAAAAAAGTTCCTTTTTCGTTCGTCGCATTGAATCCGTAGGGAATGTGGATGGCATCATTACCTTGCGAGCTTTCCTCTGATAGTCCTCGGCCATGATCAGTTGACCTCGTGCCTGACCTACGTGGTCGCCAGTTTGGGTCACGCAGTACTCAATGCGGTCCACCAATTCGCCCTGCCACGTCGCGCGATATTGGGATTCGCGAGGATCGGGATACGAGGATACACGTGGTTGACGGACAACGTATATAAGGATTGTCAGATCAGAAGTCGCAGCAAGAACACGTATATGCCATAGGGAGGTAATAATACCAAGAGCCCAAAAAATAAATACCCAAAAACAGATGCGACACAGTGAAGAATAACGTGTGGGAGATATATACGTATAAAACATATATAGATATAGGCAACGATTATATAATAGCCAGAGAGACACGAACGATATAAATAGTACATTATTTCATATACACACATATATTATTTTTGCGTATATAATTTTTTTTTTCATTTCAATAGCACGTATATATATATATATATATGTGTGTATATATTCGCAAACACAGTAGATATACATTAGTCGTTAGTCCAGCAGTTAGTAGATTAGTGTTATAAATTACAGGTAACATTTATAAGACAGAGCAGTAATGGACAGAGGCACAAAACACCAGCACACCCATGTTTCATAGAAAACAGTTATCAATTGAGATATGATTTTTTTTTTTTTTTTTTTAAGATATACATACGATATGTATATAATCAAGCATTTCACACAGGCGCGCACACACACATACGTGATGATGTAACATATGTGACACGATGATCGATGAAATATATATGTGGTATATATATATATACAGATGTTAGGTGCAAGAGAATAGAGAAAAATAAAAATAAAAAATATATACAGAGAAGAAGAAAAAATAGAGAAACCAAAAAGCCATGAGAATTATTTGAAAATAGAATTTTTTTTTTTTTGTTAGTACGGGATACCAGATTTTTGTGGGTGTCGGAGGGTGAGCGATGGGAGAGAGAGAAAAGGGGGGGGGCGGGGGTAAGTTTTTTTCGGTGAAAAGTTTGTACGAAAAATGAATGGGATTCGAGGGTAGACGGTTTTGAGGATTGGGATGCAAACAAACAGAAAAAAAAAGTGACCAATTAGAAGTGCACGTGTATCATGATAAAAATTTTCTTATAGATATGGGCAGGACTCACCCGTCGGGCTTTACTTTGATACTTGAGGGCTTTTTTGGTGTCCTGCGTGGCCGTCTGCACGTAGTCGACCGCGTGCTCCACGTGGTACTCTATGCGATCTATCATCTCGCCCTAAAGTGCGCGGCGCAATCCCGACAGCGTAACAAGGAAAATTGTTAGTGAGAGAGAACCATTGTCATGCACCCGCTCGAGACGATTGAGCGAAAAATTCAAGACCATATATCGCGACCATTGGCGCGTCACGTGTTCACCTGAGTGACGGATCGTGAATTGAGGATAAAAAAGAGAGACAAAAGAGGGGGAGGAGATTTTACCCTTTTTCCGCGCAATGTCGAAGAATACGGACAATCGGAGAATTGACTGTGAGAAGGATACATCGGTTACGTCACGATCGGGCACCCACGTGTTTCGTTATTATTATCGAGTATCTTATTTCCAATAGACGTTGAATTCAATAGACCCATGCAGAATAAAAGCCATTTAAAGGTGTTAGAGCAGATCGACGTTCCCTCGCATTATCCTTGGTCTGTCGATATAGGCTGCGATGATTATTTATGGTTTTTTTTTTCCATTCAAAATTTGCGAAGAGTCGAAATGCGAGGGAAACACGATCCGTAAGTTAATATAATTAAGATAGTTATTTCAATTGATTAGACAGTGAATGTTATCGATGGAGTAAATAACGTGAGAATTGGGAACCAGTGGGATAGCAAGAATGGGTTATACTGCGCCGCGCTACACCCTAATCGGATAATTGACCGCGATGATAATTAAAGAAAAAAAAAAAAAAAAAGACTACAATTATACACAAAACAGAACCGACTGCTACAGTAGAATCGACCTGACGCTGGACAGTTCGTTCAAATTTTGTAAATCAACTTGACTACGTTGTAACGTGAGAATAATTGTCAGACCCTTCGAATGAAAGTAGACGGGGCGTAGATGTAGAAGAAATAAAAAAAAAAGTGATTACTTGAAATGAATAAATAAAAAAAAAATACAAACTGTAACAACATCAGACTGTCCCTGTACATTTCTTTATCGGTGTTATCATTTATCCAGCGGCCTGTTTTCCACCCACGGTGCTAATAACTACGAATATCATTTGCAATTAAAACTTCTCATCCCGTTGTTCACGCACGTGACGTCTAAATGCGAGAAACTAATAATTATTTTATCAGCAACTAGATGACGCTGCAGGGACCACCAATTCCCTTTTCATTGTAACCACTCGAAAGTGAAACGGGAAACTTTTTATTATCTGACTCCTCGCTCAGTAGCAAACAGTGTGACAAGTGCAACTCCCCTTAACAAAATTTTAGTTGAAAAAAAATAAAATTGATAATCGATAATCCTAATATCTCTTATCCTGTATTATGGCAGGTGACAAGGGTTGCAGTTGTCAGACTGAATCCGGTAAAAATTCATATTTTCTTCCGTTTCGCCATCGCGCACTGACAATATGAATTCCTATGGATAAATCAATAAATTGGAACCTAATGGCAGACTTTTTCACTGTGTAATCCTAATATAAGAAAATTCTTTCTTACCTGACTCTCAACTAGCATCGCCATGTCCATGAACATGTCGTGAAGTTCTCTAATGGAGTTCTCCAGCTTGATGATGTCCGCGTGACGCGCCTCGATATCGGCAAGGGTCTGTTTTGCTTGTTGCGTTTCCATAATGATCTAGGTGTATTGAGAAAAAAAAATAAAAAATTAAAAATTAAAGCACAACCTAGATAATCGTTTCTATATTTTTTTGTTCTCATTCTTTGTTGAATTCGAAAAATTTCTCACGCGCGGAAGCTTCAGATTACCCAGATTCTTTATTTAATCTGATATATTTCGTACTTCGTAAAAAGAAAAAAAAAATAATAAACCGTTAGAATCGAAGTAAATTTTTTACGATACGATTATATATGAATATAATTTACCCCCTGCGTAAAAACTGCCGGATTTCCTTGTTCCAGCATTTCCTCGAGTTCCTCATTAGTCGTCGTTCTTCCCGCTGTTAACGATCAGTGCATTGGTATATGTAGATGGAAACAAAACTTGTACCTCGAATGGGACTATGGAATTAATGAAATTAATAAACTTACTGATCTCAAGCTGTCGCTGTATCCTGCCCTTACATCGCTCCCTGTAATCGGTTTGCGTCCGATTGTATTCCGTCATCACCTCGACAAACTTCCTGGAGAGGGTTGAATGCTGAGTCTTGCGTATCCTGAGATCCGCCGACGATCTATTTGTCTGTTCCTCCTGCTCGATATTCTGCTCTATCACTGTAAAAGTCAGATTATTTTCGTTGATTATCAAAACGTAGAGAAAAAAAAGTACCAGGGCAAAAATATATTTAAAAAAATTAAATATCGAACAACCTGTATAGGATTTTCAAGTAAGCAAAAATTTAACCGTACAAACTTACCCTTTAACTTGGCCCTGACTTTGTTAGCACTTTTCTTAATATCAGCCATCAGATCTTCCAGTTCCATTTTGACTTCTGTAACAGGAGAAAAGGAAGGATCGATTATGACTTTTGTCAGACATAATTCTCTAATATTAAATTAAATGTCACTCCGACGATTTCCACAAAAGTTCGAAAATCGTCAAATTAGGGAAAGAAAAATTCATTACCGATAAGTTACTTTAATGATCACCCGATGACCTACCCCAATACTCATACAAACACCCTATACATATATAAGACTTAGTAAATAAGACAATCGCGACAATGGTTCATAATACTCAAACGAATTTGACCTCGCAACTTCCTAAGAGAAAACAAGTACAAGAAAATCGAGCGAATTTTTATTTCCGCGACCGCTCGAGCCAACTCGTTAAACAGCTTCAGGGCGCTGGGCGTCCCGACGTCATTGGAAAATTCAAAGGCACGTCCAAAGGCCGTAAATTGACGACCCAGACAGCCCCAGCAATTACGGTTACACAAACAATTTAGAATTTCCCGCTATACGGACTACATAAAATTCCCATGGAACGTCGTTCCCCAGAAATACCCACCGTTCCAATCCCATGTTCCGTACTTCCGATTGAGTGAAATGTGAAAAAAAAAAAAAAGGTACCTAACCCAACGATCTTCACCGTACAGAATTTCGAGAGACGTCCATCCAATTAAAATCCCTCCCACGACACTGAGGTGTGACGATAATCGAAAAAAAAAAAAAAAAAAAAAAAAAAT